GTGTCAGGTTGGCTGAGAGAGGATTTTTTATTTTTTTTGTAAATTTCTTTATTATGGTTTTATCATGTTGTAAAATGCAGTTAGTTGTTAAACATTGTGAAACTCGCAGGTTTCTTATACTTGTAGGAGCCTATTATACATTGAGATTTGCAAATTTCTGCAACAACTTCAGTGGTAAGGAGACCCGCAGGTCTCTTAGCAAGGTGTACATCATGGTCACGTCATTCAGATGCGGGATTGTAAGTCCCCAATACCGGTATCGGGGTATTTGACTCTGACTTTAGTGGTTAACTTTTCAGTTTTCAGTTGACAAAGTGCAGGAATGTGTTTCAATACGCTCTTACATAAGCCTAGGATTGTATTTCTGAGTTTTGCTATCGTCTCAGTCTCGGTGATTGTCAGTGTGGTCAATTCTCTCGTGTCGTAGGTCTGCGTGTGGATTGGGTTTAGGGTCTCAGGGTATGGGTGGGGGCTGAGAGAGGATTTGTGTGAGAAGGCAGTGGGAGGATTTGTGCCTCCCCACCTATTTTTTCTTGTTGTTTAATAAAATAACATAAAAAAAAAACACTTTTCATATTTTAGTCTTTCAGACACCTTTAGTAATACTAAGTACTTATTATTAGTAAATGAGTGAGGTTATATTCCCCCCTCCTGCCCCTGTCCGCCTTCCTGAGAGTAGGGGTGTGTCTACTAAACAGTGAGTAGCCATAGCTATTGCTGTCCAGTTGCTAATCTAATAAAAGGGGTCGCCCATGCACCGGTAACCCATCCCCTCATGGCGGGGACCTAATAAAATAATTAATTGAAGGGGGGCATAGGGTCCCCCTGTGCCCCTTGAGAGATGGGATACAGAGGGAGACTGTGGGGCTATCAAAATAAATGGAGAGGGACCTAATGCCCCCCCCTCACCCTCCCTTTTACAGCTCTAAGATTAAAAACGGTTGAACATTGTGTCCAACCAGCCCCAGGGGACCTACTGCCCGCCCCCACCCACCAACCGCTGGAGACAGATGGGAGCGCTTAATAGTAAAGGAGTGTGGACCTTCCCCACCCACAGCCCCCACAAATTGGCAGTGGGTGTGGTCTCTAAAAATAATAAGAGTGGAGTTGACCTATTCAGGGCCAGTGCAAAGATTTTTGCCGCCCTAGGCAAAAGAAAGATTTGCCACGCCCCCCCCCCTGGGACATCGCAATGCCCCACCCATTTGATCTGCCATATGAACTAGTGCCAGTGCTGCACACGGTGTGTGTTTACATTAAAAAGCCTGCAGGGACAAACTATAGACACCAGGACAACTTTATTAAGCTGCAGTGGTTCTGGGGACTATAGTGTCCATTTAATGTGAGGTAAATTAGAGATTAGTGTCACTAATAATATACTAGATTGCCTACTTACAATCAGATGAGGATGGTGATGGGCTCTGGCTGCAGTCTGGCTCCACTGGTCTGGTGTAGAACAGGATCTCTGGAGGCTGTTTGTAACTGTGGTCACAAAATTCAATGTTCTGGGAGAACGGGAAGCAGCTCCATTTTTTGGGGCCTCTTACATAGCTCAAGGTCTGGGCCCCAGGGTCTGACGGTGAGTATGCCCATAAAGCCCACCCATAAGTCCACCTACATGTTCCACCCATGAGTTTGCTCACAGGGAGTAGAGTGTGTAGGGGATGTGTTATGTGTTACTGTAGAGGATCTAATGTGTGTGCTTATGGAATGTAGCGTATAGGGATACCAGTCTGTGTAGGTGATGCAGTGTGTTTGTGTGTAGTGGAAGCAGTGTGTTTTTGTGTAAGGGATAGAAAGCAGTGAGTGTTTGTGTATGTGACGAAGTGCCCTTCGCCACTTGGTCCTGGAGAGGCCTACTTGCCAGCCTCCTCCCCTGTGACTATGACTCTTTCATGTATCTGGCTTTAAAGCCCCTAGTCTACCTTCAGACAGACTATTTATGTAGGCTGCTTTATTTATCTTATGTTTTAGTCACCCTGTACCCATTATAGGTGCAGGGTGTGTGTAATGTAATTGTTTATAGTGTGTGTGTGTGTGTGTACTGTGTAATGTATTGCCTGCTCTCTTGTATTGCTGAGGTTTGCTACCAACTAGGTGGGTTTGGCTATGGAGCTTGTCTAGTGCCCTCTGTTGGTAGCAACAGCAATATGCACTACCTGAATTGCAAGACTGGTTCATTTGCATATTCGGGTAGATTTGCATATTGCTAATTCTGCAGGCAGGTGAGATATTTACTGTTAAATATTGTCTTCCCCCACCCCTTTAAAAATGTGCCATTGTGTTGTTATAAGTCACTGTGTGTTGCTTGATATGGTTTGACTGTTTGTGATTTTATTGAGGTTTCACAACAATGTTATTGTGGTGACCCTATTGGCTGGTCCCAAGGGAAATAAAGGTTTTGACAGTTCTTCTTGATCCCTCTAAACGTAGCCTTGTCTCGTTATTGGAGGGAGCTGTTATAATCACACTGGGGATTGCTATGCTCTGCATGCTCCCCTGAGCTTGAGTCACTTAGCTCTTTTAAGAGCTTGTTCCTGACACGCTCTCCTTGGAGGAGGGATCTTCACCACACAGTCCTGGATGCTGGAGGTTCATACAGGGTGGAAGGGAGAGTTCTATTCCACACAGTCCTGGAGGACAGAAGCTGATCCAGGGTGGAAGGAAGACGGCGAGACTCCAGTCAAGATACGGCGGTTGCGGAGTCTGTGGTGGTTGTGGTGTCTGCTGCAGTGCTTGGGAGTCCTCAGGAAGCGCTAGGAGCATCCATCAACGGAGGGTACTCAGTCGGAGTACAAAGGAGCTCCGTTACAGTGTATAAGGGATGTATTGTGTGTTTCTTGTTGTGTGTAAGGGATGCATTGTGTGAATCTGTGTTTGTATGCATAAGGGATGCAAAGTGTGTTTCTGTGTATGTAAGGGACGCAGTGTGTGTGTCTGTAAGGGGTGCGTTGAGTGTGTGCAAGAAATGCATTGTGTTTCTGTGTGTGTGTAAGAGAAGCAATGTGTGTGTAAGGGATGCATTGTGTGTTTCTGTGTATATGTGCAAAGGATGCATTGTCTTTATGTGTAAGGGTTTCATTATGTGTTTCTCTGTGTGTAAGTGAAGCATGTTGTGTTTCTGTGTGTATAGGGATGCATTGTGTGTGTGTGCGCGTGGTGTGAAAGAGCTCCCCGTCCTGCCCCCTGTCCTATAGAGCTCTCCCTTCCATTCCTTAGAGATCTCCCCTGCCCCTTAGTGGTCTCCTTTTCTCCCCGACTTTCCATTAGTGGTCTCTCCTCTCCCCCCACCCTCCCCTAGTGGTCTATCCTCAACCCCACTCCCTTAGAGGTCTCTCCTCACACCCCTCCCCTAGTGGTCTCTCCACCGCCCCCTCCCTCCTTTAGTGGTCTCTCCCTCCCCTACGTTCTCATCTCCCTCCCCCCGTGTTCTCCTCTTCTTCTCCCCCCCGTGTTCTCCTCTTATTCCCCCCTCCCTGTGTTCTCTCCTCTTCTTTCCCCCGTCCTGTAATCTCTTCTCTCCCCCTCCCCTATACTCTTCTCTCCCCCTCCCCTATAATCTTCTCCCCTCCCCTATACTCTTCTCTCCCTCCCCTATAATCTTCTCCCTCCCTATACTCTTCTCCCCTCCTGTAATCTTCTCCCTCCCCTATACTTCTCCCACCTCCCCTATACTCTTCTCCCCCCTCCCTCCCTGTAATCATCTCCTCTCCCCCCTCCCCTGTAATCCTCTCCTCACCTGCCCTGTAGCGTGAGTGTGCACTTCCTGTCAGTCCGGCCGGGTCGCGGACCGGAAAGGAGCTCGGCCATGCTACAGGGCAGGGGAGGTGAGGCAGTGCGGCAGCCGTCTGAGTGCTCTCTATAGAGTGCTCAGGCGGCTGCAGAATTTAAAGGCCGGCGATGGGGGCGCAGGGTGCCCCCTCCTATATGGTGCCCTAGGCGGCTGTCTAGTTCGCCTTATAGGAAACGCCGGCCCTGGACCTATTGCCTCACCCAGCCTCCCCATATTGGTGGTGAATTGGGGGCTCTAAATGAAGGAAGGGTGGACCTATTGCTATTGGTAGTGATGGGGCAAACATAATAAAAAATCCCCCAATGACTAGGGGTCACAAAGCCCCTAATCATCCCCCCCCCCAAAGAAAATACTCTATCTACCCCCTCACCATAATAATAGTTAAGGGGAACCAATAAACTATATACCTGTAAAATACACATTTACTACTTACCATTAGATAACTTCTTCTTTTTCAACCCCATAAAATTCCAACAAAAAAATCCATAAAGTCTCATTGAACTATTAAAATAAAAAAAAAGACCTGTGCACAAACCCCCCCCCCCCCAAAAAAAAACACCCCGAACAAGTAATACATCTTTACCCCGTGTGGGTTCTGTGCAGACTTACCTCGTAGGGCAGGGAAAGCATTATAAAGGCTTTCCCAAGATGTGTAATTTGAGTCAGAGTGCTCTGATTGGTTGGCTAAATCCACCCAATCAGAATGCTCTGATAGGTAAATCTTGGGGGTGACAGAATACTTTGATTGGTTGACTTAAGCCCACCAATTGGGCACACTGACTCAAATTGCACAGTGTTCACCCCCATAGGTCTAGGGTAAGATTTAGGAAGTATTTGGGAGCACAGTTGGCCACCACTTTTATTTTTAAATATTACATGGAGGGATCCGTGAGCTACCTGGGGCAGAGAGACACTGTAGTGTTCTTTAACCCTGCAATGTAGTTATTGCATTGCAGAAACAGCAATGTTTTAGATTACAGTATTAAGGGGACAGGGGCACTGCAGCCAGATCAGTTCAATGAGATGAAGTGGTCTGAGTACCTATAGTGTCCCTTTAAGTAAACATCTCTCACTTACTCTATAAAATTCCGAATGCTATACCATAATTTCAGATAAGTTAAGGCACTCATGCTTTTAAACTAAAACTCCACAGTAACAGGTTAAAAGTACTCCTATTGCTCAGTTTCATTTTTCTTTTTTATTTCCTCCAGTTTCTAAGTTACTTGCTTGTGTAGACATAATAATAATATCCTGCATGTGAACATGTTATTGCAGAAGTTTAGCCCAGCCGAATTCTACCCCTACATGAGGTTGTTTTTGTTCGACCCAGGCATACAGAGAAGGAGATGGGCTTTAATGATGGGAAAGTTCCTGATGTCCATATCTTACAGAATGTGTCTGTCTGAGCAGTCCTTCTCACTTATCTAAACAAGCAGAAAATCCCTATGAGAGAGCTCTCAAGAGGGTCAGTCACAAGCCGTCATGTAAAACTTCTGCGTCTTTCCCAGCTTAAGAATTTCCTGCCAGGATGTGGGATCCTCCTTCCTTCCTTGCATCTCCCAATTTCTACAATTCCCTCCTCCCTTTTAATTATTGTCTTTTCCGACAAAGTCTGGTCAGGGCCACGTTGTGATCTGTCAGGAAGAAAAACAAAATAAAGTCAAGTTCCTCTAGTATTCTTTAAGCCTGGGAAATTTAATGCCTAGACGTCTGAGATCCTACTACATTTTTAGATTTCATTAATACATGAAGGCATGGAATACAGAACTCTAGCAACATACATCAGACCTAAATGAAAATGATATATATATATATGAATAAGGATATATATAAGAATAAGGATTGTTGCACATACTTCCTATCCTTCATAAATGGGGAAAAAAAAAAGCGGATTTATATATATCGGTCATATGATGAAGGAATAATTACATGACATACTTAAATGGATTCTATAGTGTTAGGAATACAAAGTTGTTATAGTGTCCTCTGGATCCCTCTTCCTCGTCCCCCTCTCCTCTCCCTCCCCCAGCATGGAAAGGGCAAATTCAATGCTTTCCTTGGGGATTTCACTGACGCTGGATGTCTTCGTGCAGACCATGAAGACGTCAGCTTCAGGTAAAAGTGGAATCCATTAGAATTCAGGAAGTGCCTCTAGTAGCTGTCTGATTGACAGCCACTAGAGGCAGTTGTAGTGCTGCACAGTAGTAGTGCTAATTATTGCAGTTTCTCTAAAACATTGCAGAACTAAGTTGGACTGGGACACTGTACCCAGATCACTTCAATTAACTGAAGTGGTCTAGGTGACTATAATGTTCCTTTAAGCACTGAACAGATTTAAATATGTCTGATTTTATTCTATACATTTCTAGTATATAGCATTATCTGTAGGTATTTTAGATCTAGTTTCCAAATTTAAATTCTGTCATTATTAAATACATCCATAAAATAAAAAGTATGAATTGCACATGTTAAAAGATGCTCATTAAAGTTATTGCATATATTAGAGATTGTTTTGCTGCTCTAATATATGCAATAACTTTAATGACTTGGCGATAATCTTGGTAACTTTAAGGGCTCTATATGATTCGACTTGGAGGAGAAACCCAGTGGTTATTTTACTCGATCTCATTTTATTCTATTTTCCTATCTAAGCTGCTTTCTGCTTTTCATAATACGCATCAATCCCAGCTCATACTAAGCATACTTTACCATACTATGGCATGTCTAACAGCATCCTTTAAACCTTGCTTGACCTATCATATACAAAAATGTGCATTTAGTCTGTAACCCATGACCATGTTCTACTAAGTATGTTATTGAAGAGTTTGCAATAGCTGTCGTGGCATTTCAAGCGTGTTGTTCATCCTTGCACGTAAAAAAATAAAAATAAAAAAAAAATGCTCAAAATGCACAAAATCATGCAATATCTAAAAAAAATTACACTTGCAGTTCACCATATACATTACTTAATTCTATGCTGTAGAATAGACCCTTTCTTTTGCGTTTGTTTCCTATACACAAACTATATCAACAAAGAAAAATTGAAAGTTGCCGTTCAGTTATTTCTAAGAATGCAATTCTTTAACTCTGGGTCTGGATCCGGGTCGGACACCTGACTGACAGCTTAGATGTCAATATCTTCTCTTTGTGAAGGAGGTCGTAAAGTGTAAAAAAGCCCATTTAGGCCACAGCATTCGTATTTTATAGATTTGAGCAGGACGAAAAATGTCAGTTATAAAACAATCTGGCAGAAACATAATTCATTTTTTGGGGGGTCAACAAAATTGAGTTCATGTAGTTCAATTCAGCAGAATCTCGTAATGCGAAATACTTGGAAAGGCATTTCAAAAGGGTAAGACACAAGTCAAAATCTGAGTTTATAAGAACACTGACAACATATAAGGGTACCAGCTACTTTCACTCTTGTTTTGGGTTGCTATATCTTTTATACAGAGGGAACTAGCTATAATTTTCAGTGTGGACTGCAGTTATGAATGAGATCATTCTGATATGCAAATAACATAGGGTCTCTCTGTGGGACTTGTGAGTAAAATGTGTTCAAGACGTGAGTGGGGACTAAACAAAGGGCAAACTATTGAATTTTCCCCATTATCAATGGCCTTATATTTTCTGTTTTATTTCTTAAACAACATACCAGCATGTCAAAATCTACTCAATCCATCAATATTATTATTTTCCCTGATCTATCCATTTTATCATTTTTACCCTAACCATCCATTTTATTATTTTACCTTATCCCATCCATTTTATCATTTTACCTGATCCATCCATTTTATATATATATAATCAATATCAATATCATTCTACGTGTATTTTGATATATATATATATATATATATTAATATTAAAATGCACTTAGACAGTGTATGTGTAAATGTGTGTGTGTGTGTGTGTGTGTATATATATATATATATATATATATATATATATATATACATAGATCATATATAATATAAATGATCTAAGTATATTTTATTTTTAACTAATATTTTATTTTTATCCTTAAGGGGTTAAGAGGGGAGGATAGGGGTAGAGACAGTGTCAGCCAGTGATTTCACATCATTGGCTGACACACAGGAACAGTGATCACAGTGACTGGCTGTCACTGTGATCACCTCCTGCAGGGGGATCATGCCTGCAGTTACATGTGTCAGCCAATAGTAGATCAGATCGCAGTGAGAGGCTGTTTCTGCGATCAGATCGGACTGAGGAGATCGCGGTCACTGACCGCAGCGGGACTACCTGGGGGGCCAGGCATGCCCCCCGACCGCGATCTGCAGCGGGCTCATGGTGCCGACCACGTGGGCGGCAAGAACGGCAAGGACGTTCTATGCCGCCCGCCTACATTTAGAGCCAGCCCCTTAAGGACGGCATAGAACGTTCTCTGTCCTTAAGGGCTTAAGTCCATGCCCCGCTTAAATTAGATGATTTTACTTATTCTCCCCAGTGAGTTTGGTCCTGCCTCCGAGATCATCAATTTTGTCTATTTCAGATAAAGCACTGGGAGGCTATTGCACCAATAAGCATCTCCTCATAGAGATGCATTGAATCAATAAATCTCTATGGAGAACCTTCAGTGCCTCCATGCAGACCGTGGAGATGCTGAATGCACTAGACTAGGAACCACCTCTAGCAGGCTATCTGCGGAACTTCACCAAGAGGTGTTACGAAGCACCAATGTAAACACTGCCTTTTCTCTGAAGATTCAGTGTTTACTTTGAAAACCTGCAGGGACAGGCTAAAGATACCAGAACCACTTCATTAAGCTGTAGTTGTTCTGGTGACTATAGTGTACCTTTAATATTGGCAGTTTATTACAAATGTGATGGTACATTATCAATATATCAGAATATACAAAGAAGAAAACTATTTGATAAATTGTTATAGATTTTGAACCTCCACAAAAGCCACTGAAATTATTGTTTAATTACATTGTAATCTAATATTGATGAAACTCTTATTTAAAAGTTAAATACGTTAACGATGAAACTAAAGATTTATGGCAAGGAAAAAATGCTCTTATAGGCAGGGTCATCTTTAACATGGGGCAAACAGGCCGACTGCCCCAGGCCAAGTTACTCATGGGAGGGCCCAAAGCAGCTGCCTCGTAGGCCTGATGCCCGCAATTTATTTTTATTTTTTCCCCATGGGCCCACCGAAGCAGGCCCCGCATGCTAAGGAGGTTCACCACGTGACCCATGCACCCGGGTCACCCGGTGGGCATTTTTCAGAAGGGGCCAGGTTAGTCACTGTGGCCCTTTAACAACGCAACACCCCCTTGCTTATCATCAGAATTGGAGGAAGTGAGGACACAAGTTACTTCCTCCCACAGAGAACAGAGAGCCACAGGGGAGGGAGAAGGAGGCAGTAAGGAGGGAGGCTGGAGATCCAGACCCCAACTCATAACAGCCACAGGTACCACACTGGACCCAGGGATGCCACCCTCTAGCAAAAGGTAGGAAACTGGTGGGTGGGTTTAAAAATTATAATTTTGCACTTATGACAGTAAGTCTGTCAGTGTATGAGGTTGTCAATATGTCTGTCAGTATATTTGTTGATGTGTGTGTAAGTATGTGTGTCAGTGTGTGTGTCTGTCAGTGTGTGTGTATGTGTCTGTATGTCTGTCAGTGTATGTGTCAGTAAGTCTGTTAGTGTATGTATCTCTGTGTGTCAGTATGTCTGTCAGTGTGTCAGTATGTCTGTCAGTGTGTGTTTATGTGTGTGTGTATGTATCTGTGTGTGTCAGTATATATGTCAGGACATGTGCCTGTGTGTCATATGTGTCTAACAGTATGTGTCTGTCTATCTGTATGTGTGTGTGTGTATTTGTACGTTGTCATTGTGTGTCAGTGTTTGTATCTGTTTGTCTGCATGTATTTCAGTATGTGTGTGTGGCTGTCAGGTCCACTGCCCCTGCGCTGCTCGCGGCATCCTTGCTTACCCCATCATCGCGAGCGGCGTCTTCCGGTTCCTGTCTACAGCTTGCAGCAGCTGTCCCTGCTGCCACTCCCCAATCTGACAGTGTTTCTGACGCTGCACGCCCCAAGGCAGCTTCCTTATATGTGTGTCAGACCCGGTCAGTGATGACCTCACTGATTACAAGAGAGGGAAAAGACACCTCCCATGTGTTGTAATTAACACTAGTTGGACGTTAGCCAATCAGACACACTCTGTGTGTATATAAGTTCACCTCCCCCTTGCCTCAGTGCCCTGTTGTGGTCTTTGTTAGCCCAACAGTGCGTTTGTATTGGGGTTTATTCTCTGGTTACTGACTTCGGCTCGTTTTTCGTTTACGCTGTTTCTGTGATCCTTGACCTCGGCTTGTACTCTGACTACTCTATCTCTTTTGCATAGCCCGGCCATTCTAAGGAGCGGTATTGCAATGTCTTTGTGTCTGTGATCTGTCTGCGTGTTTAGGTTCTCCTGATATTCGTGACATTACAACAGGGCCATATGGAACCAGCAGACATTTCACAGCAGCTAGAGAAACCGAGAAACTTCCTCAACATCGCCCTTATGATTGTGCGATTGATCTATTGCCAGGGACTATGCCACCTAAAGGCTGGGTATATCCCCTCTCTGAACATGAAAATAAGAT